GCTACGGGGCAGACTGGGAATTTGAAACCAGCCAGTACCGGTAGAGAGGCATATTGAAAATATTCCAGGTGGAACTCGCGGCCATGCCCCTGGCCCTTGGGAAGGGAGCTACGGGGCATACTGGGAATTTGAAACCAGCCAGTACCGGTAGAGGGGCATATTGAAAATATTCCAGGCCCAACCGAAACAACGCCAGGGGTTCGTCGGAAACCTCAAGGGTTGTGAGAGGGGCGCGGAGCGACAGGGTAACTCGGCCGTCAGAGGGGTACGCCCGCAAAATAAATCCAACTTTCAGGGGCATAGCGAAAATTTCCCCTCATTACAACCCTGGCCCACCGACCTTACTGCCCAGGGGCGAGGTCCCGCTAGCAAAGACGATTGGATTTAATGCGTGGACCTGGATGTGTTCTACACAGAGATGCAGGAAACCAGATCAATGGCCAATTTTCTCCGCTTTTCTCCACGACTCGTACTGGGGTCTGTATTTCAACGGTCCAGGGGGGGTGTACCCACTGAGCTAGGCACGTTGATGGACACAAAGGTTTGGTAAAGAAAAAAGAGAGAATTTTGGTTTTTTTATTGAGAGAGAGAAATTTGGTATTGACAATGGATACGACGACAATTAGGCTTTATAAATAAATAAATAAATAAAGACAGAGGAACGGAACGCACGGTGCAGTATAGGTGGAATTATAGCGGCTTCTAGAGTATAAAAATACGAGTATGACCGTGCGCTCCATTCGAGGGAGGACGATAGGATATGATTGGTGGATACCCACCTGCTGATCAGCTCCTTTTTTTTTTTTTTCTTTTAATTCTTGTTTAGTTTTCAAGTTTTTCCTTTTTCCCAATTTTTTCCTTTCATTTGTTTCTTTTCCCTTTCTTTGCCCTTTCTTTTCCCTTTTTTTTCCTTTTGGATTCCTTTTTTCTTTTTTCTGATTGTTCTGTCCAGATCGTAATCTGACGGGTAAATTAAGACCGTTGATCTTTCATGCTACTACGGCAGAATGAAGGTCTTCATTAACGAGATCAAAACGTCCTCCTGACCAACCGGTTCGTCGATTGATTAGTTAACCCATTGATTGGAGTGATTGTCGTTGATTCATTCGCCGGGTGATTGATTGATTGATTGATTGATTGACTGATTGATTGATTGATTGATTGATTGATGGATTGATTAATCGATTGATGGATTGATTAATATATTGATTGACAGATCGATTGATTGGTTCTTCCATCGCTTGAATGATTGGATGCTTGGTTGGTCGATTAATTGATCGATTGAATTCGCTGATTAAGTACTTATTTTAACCATATTGACACGATTGATAGCTGATACCTTCTCATCTTCAGCTGATTGATCGAGTGATTGACTGATTGATTAGTCGGAGGGCAGGTTCGGAGGGCAGGTTCGATGGACTGATTGATTGCTTTGTTGGTTCATGGATTGGTTTCATCGGATGACGCCAATGCCTCCTGATTGTGTTTAATTGTTTGGTTGAAAGATTCGTTAAGTCAGACGACTGGCCGGTTAATCAATTCGTTCATTACGTTGATAGATCAACTCGTATTGATTGATAGGTTCATCTATCAACCAATCAATCAATTCGTTCATGTCGTTGTTTGATAGGTTCATGTATTCGTTGATCAATTGATTGATTTGTTGGTTGATCAATTCATTGATCAATTGGTTGATTAGTTGATTTGGCTTATTGGTTGACTGGCAGGGATTGATTGGCAGGGATTGATTGGCAGAAATTGATTGGTTAATTGATTGATCGGTTGATTGATCGTTGACTTGTTGATTGCTAGGGATTGATTGGTTGATTGATTGGTTGATTGGTTGATTGGTAGGGATTGATTGGTTGATTGGTAAGGGTTGATTGGAAGCTAATTGGTAAGTTACTACTAAATTACTAGTACAATAGAGGAATTTGATTAACTGGTGAATTGGTAGATTGGTTTGATTTGGGTGATTGGTTGACTGGGAGGGATTGATTGGTTGATTGGTTAATTGGTTGATTGGTTAAACCACCAGTACTTGGCCCAGATATTGCCCCGAAGCGCGCAACTACCGGCGCGTTAACGGGAATCGCCCGCGGTCGATAGCTGGGCCAAGTACTGGTGGTTTAATTGGTTAATTGGTTGATTGGTTAATCGGTTAACTGGTTAATCGGTTAATTGGTTAATTGATTGATTGCTTGATTGGTTAATTGGTTAATTGGTTAATTGGTTGATTGGTTAGTTGGTTAATTGGTTAATTGGTTGATTGGTTGATTGGTTAATTGGTTGATTGGTTGATTGGTTAATTGGTTGATTGGTTGATTGGTTAATTGGTTGACTGGTTCATTGGTTGATTGGTTAATTGGTTGATTGGTTGATTGGTCGTTGACTGGTTGATTGGTTGATTGGCTGATTGGTTGGGATTCGTTGGTTGATTGGCTGATTGGTTGGGATTCATTGGTTGATTGGTTGATTGGTTGATTGGTAGGGATTGATTGGTAACGGTTAAGTTACCTGGCGAATTGATAGATTGGTTTGGTTCATGGGTTGATCAGAATTTCATTAGTTCTGTCAGTTTCTTGATGAGTGGGTAAGTACAGGCTCCAACGATTGATGTTCCCCACGAATAGATTGGAGCTGCTACTGCCAAAAACAAAAAAAAACAAAAAAAGAAGGCTCCAACGATTTCTCCGCTGAAGCGGGCCTCAGTCCTCTTAGTCGCCGTTTCCCAGTGCCCGGAATATTGCCAATTTTTCATAATACTGTAATTATGAGAACTAATTATATTTTTGTTTTGTTCTTCATTATATTCTATATCAGCATCAGCATATTACACAAATAAAGATTACTTAATTAAACAATATTATTAATATACATGTTATTTATCATTATGTCTTATCTAAGTTATCTATGTAATACGGTAAAAAGAAATAACTATAACTATCTTTATCCCCATGATTTTTCTTATTCCCTTGTAAAAATAAAAGGGAAAATCATTGCTCACTCGTTAATCGGTTTGGGGGGGTGGGGGGTGGGGGGGGAGAACTGACAACGGTCACAACGACATGGGGAAAGGAGCAAAACTGTCCTCCGGCGGGACATCCGTTAAAATTGGCACGCACGATACAGAGAAAACTAGCACAGCCCCTGCGCAAGGATAAACAAAAAGGGGAAAAAAAGAGGGAAAAAAAAAAAAAGGAGCGAAATACACATGCATTTCACACAGGCAGACACACGAAGCCACTCGTTATTTTCTCTTTTTTTTTCAATTTGGACAATTTATTTCTCGATTTACTCGTTATAACAAACAGCCAGCCCATTCATCTAAACCCCACAAGTAAACCGCCTGAGGGGGTACATCCTGCAGAGCTGTGGAGAATGCATCCGACCTCATTCACGGTCACATACGGTCAGAAGAATCATTTGTGTGTGTCCGTGTTGGGCGTGCACCCTCTAGAGCTGTGGGAGAATGCATCTGACCTCATTCACGGTCACATACGGTCAGGAGAATTATTAACGCGTGTGTCCCCTACCTAGTGTACGACTTCCTTTAAAGGAAGGCATCGGGATCGGGGAGCCCGCTGAAATTAGGACTAAGAAGGACGGGATCCCTCGTCCCGACTATCGTGGGTCGTTCTGCGGTACCTGATGGAGTGCGTATCGTTGTTGTCTTGTCTGGGCGACTGCCATGAAACTTCGTCGAAGCTTCGTTCCAAACCGCGACGCGCACATAACACGCGAAGCGGACCAGGTGCATGAACTGAACTAGCGGTTGAGATGGTCGCTTCAGCGTTGAAGGGCCCCAACAAGAAGACGATAAAGAATTCAGTTCATGCACCTGGTCGGCTTCGCGTGTTATGTGCGCTGTTGGGGCCCTTCAACGCGATACCGACTACCGGTTAGAACGAAGAAGAAGAAGTGGCCGTACCATAGCTGACGGACCTCAAGGAAAGGAAGAAGAAAGAAGAAGAAGAATTGGTGGGAAGAAGAAGAAGGAGAAGAAGAGGTAAGAAGAAAACGCACGACGAAGCTGTAAGAAGAAGAAGAAGAAGAATAGAGAAGAGAAGAGCGAGGCCAACGCTATGTGTCCAGGAACAGAGAGATCTGAAGAACAGAAAGATCTTTCTGTTCATGGACACATAGCGTTGGCCTCGCTCTTCTCCATTCTCTACTCTTCTTCTTCTTACAGCGGCACAAACTCTATGTGTCCATAAACAGACCGAACACAACAATGAATAGACAATGGCAAGTAGAAATGCTCACGGCTACGTCTACAGCTCCAAACGCGCCGCAGTAAGAAGAAGAAGAAGAAGGAAGAAGAAGCGATGGCAAGAAGAAGAAGAAGAAGAAGAAGAAGAAGAAGCGCTAAGAAGAAGAAAAAGTAAGGAGAAGAAAGAAGAAAGATTGCTTCTCCTGCTTGCTCCTTGGCATCGTTTTCCATTCTTTGGCGCCTTTTTTTCTCCTTGGTCGCTTCGAGACCCGAAGCGACGGCGTCGACCACTATAAACTACACATGCAGAAAAAAGGCGGGGAAAAAAGAAAAGAAGTCCAAAAAAAAAAAAAAGGGCGGGAAAAAAAAAGAAAAAGAGTCCAAAAAAATAATAATAAACTTACAGCATTCGGATGCGCTTTCTAGATGCTTCTCCTGCTTGCTCCTTGGCATCGTTTTCCATTCTTTGGCGCCTTTTTTTCTCCTTGGTCGCTTCGAGACCCGAAGCGACGGCGTCGACGACCATATCTCTGGCCTCTGCACTCTCCTCTCTGAGCTTCGCGAGGTCCAAGTTTCTTCCCGCCTCCACTGTTCTCTCTCTCTCCGTCTTTCTCAAGAACTGCAGAGCCGCCTTCTCTAGCTCCCGCTGCTTGCCATCTCTCTGCCATTCCTTCAGCTTCTTCTCCGCGTTGACGTGGCGCAATCTCCGCCCACTCATGTCGCGGCAAGCATCAAAATTTGTCGTTTTCTTCTGTCCCGCCTTCGTCGCAGCCCCCCTGAGCAACGATCCAAACCCCCCTTTCCCTCCCAATAATCGCAGCAAAAGTGTGCAAGAAGGAAGGAGAACGGGACCACAGCCGCCGCCGCCGCTGCCGCCGCCATAGCCGCCATAGCCGAGCTCCTCGTCGTCGTCCTCGTCGTCGCAGAGGCCATCGTGAGCAACGAGGAGAGTTTCATCTTCCACCTCTCGAGTTCCAGTGACCAATCTCTGAACGCCAGCTGGCACACCGAGACAAGACTCCAGACGCTCCTTTACCTCAGATCCCGACACACTAGAAGATAAGAACTGCAGGCAGTGCCATCGCCCTTCTAAATCCTTCACGAAGATTTGCGATCCTCTCGTCGCCATCGTCACCACCTTGGCCTTCACCATTTTTTTATTTTTTTTTTTATTTTTTTTGTATGTTTACCTTTCTTTTTCCTTCCTTTGCTTTCCTTTTTTTTTATTTATTTTTTTCCCTGACCTTAAAAGGTTGACCTTCGCCTTTGAAGTAGTACGGTAAATCGCCGCAACTGTACTGAACTTTCCACGAAACTTCTCCCCCACCGCCCCCCCAGGTACTGCGCACACGCAATCGCTCTCTCGATTAATCGTAGACCCTAGGATCGTTATCCAGCTCTTCGTCGAGTCGACTAATTAACCACTCAGCACAGTTGAGTGCTAATTAGTCGACTCGACTTGATTCGACTCGACTAATTAATAAAAAAGAAGCTCTCAATCGATCGTCTATTTACCTGTTCATCCACTTGGCGGTCTGTGGGCGCTGCGTCAACCTTGCGTCAATCTCTCATCTTACGCGCTCTCCGTCTTGCCAGACATAGGCTCTCGCTGCACTACTTCCACATGAACAAAAGACGAAAAAGATGGCAATGTATCTACCCATGTTCTAGCGGAGGATCCAGTCCGGTTTGGAGAGTGGTCGAGCGAGGCCCATACGGTACAGGAGTGCTTGTCGCGGCGTTCAGGACAACCCTGGGGCCAAGTCCCACTACCGTAGCAGCGTTGAGTTTCCTCTACGCCCTACACGCGGTATCAGCGTTGAGTTTCCTCAACGGCCGAATCTGGACGTGTTTGAGGAGATGTGCGGTTGAGAAAACACAACGCAACGTGTTGGAA